TTTTAATTATTATGTATTGTGGTGTGGACCTCTTTAAGTTCATCTTGGTTGGAACTCTGTGCTTCCTGAAACCAGATGTCCATTTCCTTCCCCAGGTTAAGGAAGTTTTCAGCTGTTATTTCTTCAAATAAGTTTCTGGCCCTTCTCGTCTGTCTCTTCTTCTGGGACCCCTCCAATGCAAATGTTCCTTCTTCTGATATGGTCCAGGTGATCCCTTAACCTTATCCTTATTTTAAAAATTCATTTTTCAAAAAAAAAAAATTCTTTTTTCTTTTTGCTGTTCAGCTTGCTTGCTTTCCATTACCCTGTATTCCAGAATACTGTTCTGCATTTGCTAATCTACTGTTGATTCCCTCTAGTGTATTTTTCATTCAATTATTGTATTGTTCAACTTCAGTTTTTTACATTTTGTATCTTTGTTGAAATTCTCACTGAGTTCTTCCACTCTTTAGTCCAGTGAGCTTCTTTATGATCATTACTTTATACTCTTTATCTGGTATATGGCTTATCTCCATTTCATTTACTTTGGGTGGGGGTTGTCTTGTTTTTTCATTTGGACTGTATTCCTCTGTCTCCACATTTTGCTTGACTTTCTGTGTTTATTTCTATAAATAGGGCAGAACAGCTACTTCTAAACTTGAAGGATTGATTTGTGTATGGTCATCCCCTATGTAGACTATGTATGCTTGATAAGTTAGGTTTGCTAGAACAGTGGCTGGCATGGGCTGGGAGGTCCCAGGGCACTCTGTGATGGAGCTCCCCAAAGGGAATGGCCAGAGCTGAAGTGGGCATGGGTTGGGGGATGTCCCAGGGTTCTCCACACAGAGGGCATGTTGGCAGGACAGCAGAAGATGAAGTGGATACAAGCCAGTGTGGTTTGAGGCTTTCTGCAGAGAGAGCTCCCTGCATGGCAGCTGAAACTGAGGTGCAGTGTGGGCCATGGGGTCCTGGGATGCTCCACACATGGGACACCCAAGCAAGTTAACTGGAGCTGAAGTGGTATAGGCCTGGAGTGTTCTGGGGTACATTTTACCTGTTACTTTGAGACAGCTGGAGCTGCAGTGAATGCTGACCAGGGATGTCCTATTGGATGCTGTGCTGCACTGGGGCTGCCTTGGTGTGGAGCTGCGGGGGCTGGTGTAGGCTAGGGGCCCAGGGCTCCTGATGTGGGAAGCTGGCTTGAGCACCTGAACTGCTTTTATCCATGCTACCAAGGTGGATGGGGACTGTAAGCCATGGCACTTACCAGCCCCTCTGACCAATGGGAAGTTCCAACCACTCTCCTATCACTTGGCAGCATTCTAAGGCTGGATCTTTTGTTCTTTTTGTTTTGTTTTTATTTAAATTCCAGTTAACATACAGCATAATACCAGTTTTAGGTGCAAAATTTAGGGATTCAACACTTACATGAAACACCTGGTACTCATCACAAGTGCAGTCCTTAATCCCCATCAGCTATTTCACCCATCCTCCCACCCAACTCCCCTCTGGTAACTATCAGCTTGTTCTCTATAGTTAAGGGTCTGTTTTTTAGTTTTCCTCTTTCTTCCCCCCATGATCATGTTTCTTAAATTCCATGTATGAGTGAAATCATATGGTATTTGTCTTCTTCTGACTTATTTCATTAAGCGTAATACTCTTTGGCTCCACCCCTGTCATTGCAACTGGCAAGATTTCATTCTTTTTGATGGCTGAGTAATATTCCTGTGTGTGTGTGTATTACCTCTTCTTTATTCATTAGTCAATGGACACTTGGGCTGTTTCCATGACTTGGCTATTGTAGATAATGCTGCTGTAAACATCAGTGTGCATGTATCCCTTCAAATTGGTATTTTTGTATTCTTTGGGTAAATCTCTAGTAGTGGAATTACTGGATCGTAAGATTGTCCTATTTTTAACTTTCTGAGGGACCTCCATACTGTTCTACAGAGTGGCTGCACCAGTTTGCATTTGTACCAACACTGTAAGAGGGTTCCCCCTTCTCTGCATCCTCAGCTAGGGTGGATCTTTTGTATACTGGGTTTTTTTTTTTTTTTTTTTTTAAGATTTTATTTATTTGACAGAGACACAATGACAGAGGGAACACAAGCAGGTGGAGTGGGAGAGGGAGAAACAGGCCTCCCGGCGAGCAAGGAGCAGGATGCAGGGCTCAGTCCCAGGACCCTAGAATCATGACCTGAGCTAAGGCAGACACTTAATGACTGAGCCACCCCCGTGCCCCTACCAGTTGCTCTTTTAAACTAGTGTTTCTTCTGTGTCTTGGGACAGGAAAATTTGTTCAGGGTCCCTAGTTCTAGCCCTCTCCACTCCGGTGCCAGAATGGGGCGTTCCTCTCATTATTTTGTCAGGACGACTCACTTTTAATCCTGCGTGATTTCATTAGGTTCATGTCCTTATAGTTGTTTTCTCCATCAGCAAAGGTTCCTGGAATATGAGTGAACTACTTTAACAAAACCAACACTAGTAAAAGACTTTTCGCTTAGCATTCATATATATTTATTCAGCTGATCCTGACTTCCCACGAAAGGCTAATGTCTGAGGCTAATGTTTATAACTCAGTGAGATACAAGAAAACAAAGCCATTTGCCAAGGTATGACATGTTGCTATAGTGACCCTCGGAGCCCTTTCTCTGGGCGTGCTGATAAAAAGGTCTCCCCTATTTCATAGCCTAGAACGCGTCCTGGTGTGGACAGCAGTTTTGCTCCCAGTTTTCCAAGAAGTAAAAGATGACGTTTGTGAAACTTCAAGCTACTCTAATATTCTCCCAATCAAAAACAAAACAAAATGCCAAACAATAACTGACAAGAGGTATCATTAACAGTGCTTTTATTTACAAAGAATTATTTTTATTTGGCTGTTTGGAAAACCACTAACATTTTTCACTTTAGAAAACATTAAATAATAAACAAGATGTTATACAGTACTTTGGATAACTTCTGTCAACTTAGTGCAATGTCGTATTGGCACCTAAAAGTGACATTTTCCATGATTTCCCCCTTTTCTTTTCAGTGGTGCAGTTACAGGACCACAAAGGCAATGAATCATTAAAAATGGATCGAAAGCCCTGTTGCCTGGCCCCTACTTGAAAGCTCGAAGGCTCGCTGCTTTACATCCTGCTCCGGTCCTGCCTCCACCAAGTTAAATGACAAAAGATATTCTGTTATAACTACTTCTCAAGCCCCCTCCCCCAACCCAAAAAAAACATTTTGTGGAACTTGGGAGATTCCAATTGACAAGAGAAAGTGAATTACAGTGGTTCGGTGAAACAAGGATCCGGACAGTGATGTCGAGCAGGGGGCTCTTTCCCAGGGGCCAGGTTAAGTTGTCACACACATTGCAGAGAATATGCACCAGATAAAAACCTCTAAATCTCTATTCTTTACTATGGTCTCTTTGAAAACTTGAAATATCCTCCACTGAGCAAGTGAAAGGGTTATACCTTTACCATGACAAAAAAAAAAAAAAAAAAAAAAAGAATCCTACCGCATGAGGATATTATTAAGATACTAAAATAATCTCCATCATACTCTATTAAGAATACAAGTTTGTTGTGTTTTTGTTTTTCCTGTTTGGATCCTGCTAGGTTTGCCATAGTGAGATCTTTAGTGAGCTCGGCACTTGGTGGGCTTTTCCCCTTTTGGTTCTCCTCCATTAGGGGTCAAGAGGTAAATGCCTATATTAGACCCTGGCCTTGCCCAAATAACTCAGAAGATTTTCATTACAGGGTAATAGGATCAAAACATCCTTTGGAAGATTCTGTAATCTGTTACTCTGCCTTGACAGAAGAACATATTTAACCTTCTTAAATAGATTCTTATCTTTTTAAAAAGCCTCAAAGAGAAAGAGAAGAGAAAGAGGGAGAGAGAGAGTCACTTTTTTTTTTCTTAAACAAAGGATTCTCATTTCACAATTGTCCCTGCCAGGAAATGCCCCCTCGCACTCCAGTCTAGGCCTGTTTCCTCTCATTCTATCCTTAGCACATATGGAGAACAGCTGGTCACCATCCTCTCTGTACCAACCATTCATACACTGGAAAACCAGCAATGGTTTGCCCTTCAGTATTCTCTTCTCCATGCTGGATAATCCCAGTTCCTTTAATTTTTCATCATAGATCTTTTTTTCCAACCCTTTAATCATCTTTGTGATTCCTGGCAAAAACAGCAGAAAATATTTTGATTACTTCGTCAGAAATGAAGAAAAGGCTCAGGAGTAAGTTGCCCTAGAAAAGTTGTATATTTTAAAATATTTTTTAACATGAAGGTAAAATATCCAGGGAGGAAATGTAGTTGGGGTGGGGTGGGGGGGTGGGGGAGTGGTTCCTAGATCCTAGAATTCCAATCTTGTTCTCTTGCTCTGACATGTGTGTGAATCCCAACAAAATGCCTCCAAGCACAGGACTCGCCTCCAATCCCGTTCTGACAAGACAGCAAGTAAGTCATAATTCAAGACCTAAATATATATGGACTTACAAATTAGTATGAACATCTGTTCCAACAGAGCTTTCCCCATGCTTCCCCTCAGCCTTCCAGAAACAAAATCTTTTCTCTGAAACCACCAGAACTTTTACAGAGCTTTTTACAGATTACCAAAGAGAGCCAAGTTATTGTAAAAACTGTTGGTTTTAAAGTATAACCTGAAACAGTGAGGGTTTTATATGGTAACTGCAGTTTCCTGTCTACCTGAATGGTTCACTATCCTTTACAGTGATTAGACTCAAGGCCATGAAAACTTCATCCTTCCACTACCACACCTGACATCTCTTCTGATTTTCTCTTGCTGCCAAAATAAGGTCATGGAACTGGATGACATTTCACTGGGTAGTTTTTAATTCAAGAGATCACAAGCTGCCTTTTCCCTTGCAACTAGAGTCTGTAAATATTAAGAACACATAACTACTTAATATCAATAGCACATTTACACAAAACACAATACTAACGAGGGATTACATGCCCACTCTACATAATTGTCCTTAAAAGAAAATACAGATAGCAAGAATAAATGCATCTTGATAGGTTACACACCCTTCTTTTATAAAGTGAATGGCAGTAGAAGTCAGAGTTCAGGTGAGGCCAGAGCTAACAAGGGAAGGGGAGAAACCAACTTCACAAGCACTTTCTACAACATAGCTTAAAGGAAATCAACACTACTCATGGTACAACACTGAACAGATAACAGAGTGGCCATTTGCATGATTTCTTTTGAAAACATCTCGCATCATTTGCTACTACTGCAAACGCCTCCTAACTAGGACGGAAGATAGCGCACGCACCAAAGGCCTTCCTAAAAGAGCCACAGGCTGGAAGGTAACACCCAAGCTGGCTTGGATGCGTCTGCAGGGGCCCCGCGTATTTCAAAGAGGGTGTCACCGTTCGCTGGAATTGCACAAAAGCAGGCCACGGGTGTGGGTCCCCCATCAGACTTTCTCCTGACCCACTGACCCGTTCTTCTCCCAGGCCTGATAAGAGGGAGGAGAGGACAGGAGGTGAAGACTGGAAACAGAAAAGAGCAACAGGGGATTCACTGCTAGTTCAGAAGCCGCTCGCGTTCTTCAGAGCAGTGGCCTTTTCTCAGGCTCACATCATCCAATCCGATCTCCCCCGTGTGGCCACGCCTTTTCTCACCTCTGAAGATGACCTGGGGAGAGAACCACACACCAGTCAAGCTTCCTCTGCCGCTTCCCAACCAACGCTCGTTTCACAGAATAAAGGCAACCATTCCCCCCAAACCGAGGAGTGCACTTACTCAACAGAAGGAAAAGACTAGAACATAACCCGTGTCACCTGAGGCTTGCCTTTTGGTAGAAACTCAAACCATCAGTCAACTGGTCCCCAGACCACATCATTCAGAAACGGTTACTCTTTTAAAAAAGCCATCCTGGGCGACAGGCTGCTTCCATTTAGGAATGCTTACGAAGTGCACACCATGCCAAAGATGAGCAAGGTTAGGAGTAAAAAGTGAGATGGAATATAGAGGTGTAGGAATCAGAGCCGCAGACCTGGGAGATCGTAATCGCGCAGCCTATCCTAGGCGTCTGCTCTTCCCTCCGTGGCTTGAGCCAGCTTTGTTGCCTAAAATGGAGTCGAACTGAACGCCACAACCCAATCAAAGCGCTGTTTTACTTACATAAACCACAAACACTTTCTGTATTTTATTTTCTGTAGAGCATCTTTGCTCTTTTAAAAACAGAAACCTTTCTATGCTGTAATTTGAAATGGCTTTATTTTTCCAAACAGTATTTTTTTTTCAAAGAGCAAAACAAATCAAAGACAGATAAAAGCTGTATTGTTGGAGTCTATCCCCTTTAATGCAGTTTCTAGAAACCATACCTATAGTCATAGATGCAGAATCTCCTAATGGCAAGCTTTATGAATATGAGCATAAAGATGCTTTTCCAAATACATTATTTCAGTGGGATGCTACTGGCCATTTTATTGCTACCTGTGACTTGATTACTTAAGATCAAATTTATATATGCAATCAAAGCTTTTCCCACATCCTGTCTGAATAGAATAGAACTTCCCAAGCATATTGTTCTCGGTTTCCACCCAAGGCTGCTTAACTATGATCTCTGAGGCAAAATTAGACTTTAAAGAAATATTTCCAAAAAAACAACCAAAAAAAGACGAAACACTTTAGGATGACTCTGAAAAGTAAAGGCATTGCAGAAAAAGGAAAAGCAGGTACAGTTAAGCTCACCACCTCTGCCCTTTCAAGTTAACTGTTTTTAATTCCTGAAAATTTTTTCATGAAAAATGGGGCTTTTCACCAGGGTGGGGGGAGTGGTGGTGTTATCGTAGGCGGCAATGAAGAAAGGAAGCAGGGGCAAGGAGGGATTATAGGAAGAGGAGGGGAATGGAGTTCTCCTTCCCAGAAAAACACAAACCTTTGTGCCCCAATGAATGAGGAGGATGAGGCTTCCTCAGATGCAGATCCTAGAGTTCTCCTGTGAAAGGAAAACCTCCCAGGCTCTGTCTCCTTTTCGGTTCTACTTACGCTCTTGACGTCAGCCCCTCGCAAGGTGATGTGTGTGTGCCTCCAGCCACGGCCACCATTCCTGCCCCACAGGGCTGCTCCGTGGGCACCATGTTTTCTCGCAAACACCTGGAGCGCGCCGGAGTGCAGCCCCGTCACCTTGTGCCTGAACGACAGGCACAGGTCCCCTGAATGCATGAGGTGGCCAAGAGGTAGCACCAAGCGAGCGGCTTTTCCCCCTGGGCCTTTGGCTCCCGACACTGTCAGATACTGTCCACCTGGAATGGGAAAAGCAGGGCTGTGTGTGTATGTGCCAACATCCCTTTCTAGCACCGACAGCATCAAGGCAGGTTTACTTGGAATAAACTGCAAACTGAGATCGTCATTTGTAAGAATTCCAGATTTTTTAAGAAAAGTTAGGATTTATGTCTAGGCCTCCCTCAAACTCTATGGATTGTGTTTACAGAAAATATTTGGCTCATGGAGAGTGCAAATTATGCTCAGGATGTCATGATCAGGAATCCTAATGCGAGGACTATTTCCTGTTGGATATGAGCAGACATACAAAGGCAGACACAAGCTCACCATCTCTCGATCCTCACCAATGTAGGTTCTGCCGTCAAGCTGGCTGGCCGGTTGACTCTAAGTTGCCAGGGAGAATTTTCTATGGGGATAATTAACCTCTAGGCAGTAGAGCAGACGGTAATCTAAAGGGGCACTAGATATGTTTGTTCTTTCTTCTTCTCTCTCTCTCTTTTTTAAAATCTCTAAAGCAAGAAGTTCTCCTTTGAAAAGGTCTATTTGCTATGCTTCTCACACTGGAGTACACCTAGCCCCAAGAAGATGCAGAGGTGTTCTGGAAACCTCTACATCTTCCTGGAGCATTACTTTTCTTGTGAGTAACTAGTTTCAGACACTTTTACATCAAAACAAATTTATAACATTACATATAATAGTAATTTTTTATTACATATACATGTACCCAAAATATGAAGAACAACTTTCACTCTGGACAAGTCACTTGGACGATGTCCTCAGATCCCTATGGCTGCAGAGTTTGTGTCCCCCTATTGTTAGATTAAGCGCCACTGCAGTCTGGGGGAGGGGGCAGGGGGTAGTTTAAGCAGCAGTGAAGTGAAGGATACTGCTTCTCAAGAGAGGGAAAGTTGGGAGTGGTATTTTGAAACTCAGACCATGTGTAAATGACCTTCCCCCCAGCTGTTTTATTAGAGCTAACTGGAAAACACTGTTCCAGCACGGAGTTATCCCTAAGAAATATGTGGTTGGAAGGTTAAACACCTGTACCTGTTTTGGTAGAATCGCTACTTATTTCTCAGTTAAAAGATACACCATCCTTTCTTAGGCTTTGTATAAAACCTAATAATTTGGGGGAGGTCTTATTCTTCAAGTGACTTCTCTAATGAGTCCCCTTTGAGGATTCAAAGGACCAAAGAGGTAATCTGTGTGTACTCTGCCTGCACCAGGCTCGTTAGCCTCTCTACCGTGAGCATTGTTGGCCCTGCTAACAGGTCTTTGAGGGGAACACTCATTTGGCTTGTTTTGCCGCTGCAGAAGCTAAGGCTTAGGGAGGTAAAGGCACCCAAGGTGTCACCCTGCCATTGAGGGGCAGGGTCATGGTTTGAGCTCAAAACTGCCTGACCCCCTAATTCAGCCCTTGTTGCTCTCAAACTGGAATCACTGGTTTACAGGTTTCTGTCCCCCAGGAGACCGTGAACTCGTTGAGGTCAGAATGGAACAGTACATCAAAAACTAATGGTGTACTGTACGGTGACTAATGTAACATAAAAAAAAAAAAAAAAAAAAAAACCTCAGCTTTCCCCCCAAACCACCCCATTTTATATCCTAGCACGTGGTAGGGCTTTGATGTCATTTGCTGAATAAATAAGGTTCTAAGAATATAGAAAAAAACTGCAGGGCAATAGATCTTTGAGGCACGTACTTGACTCACCGAAAACACACAGAATTTCTTATCCTCCTTCCCTACCCTGTGCCCCATCGAACTAATCCAAACAATATTTTGGGCCAAAACCTTTAGATGGGGCTTAAATGTCTCCCTATAAGTCAGCTTTGAATCATCACAGGTACTTAGGTTAAGACTAAGATATAAGGTATTACAGTTAACCTGAAAGTTTTAAGAAAACAAGGATTACCTTAAGACTCTGCGGAATGTACACTCCTATCACTATGCTAGACATGCCTGCAAACAACCTAATAAACCAAGGCATCCTAATAGCCAAATAGTCCTTTTGTATAGATATTTAAAACTAAAATGTAAATCATGATAAATGAGGCTATAACAGCTCTTTCTCTGTGGGCACCAGGTTTTTGTCTTACCATAAAGAAATCTTTCCCTTTGTAATAAAAGGAAATGTTACAAGGATGGAATAGTAGCTAAGGGAAAAACTGATCTAGCACCCTGAATAATTTACCTATTAAATAAAAAATTTAACTTCTGTTCCAAAATACTGTTTTAAATATAGAATTATATTATTTTCATGGTTTTAGTTTAAAGCATTGCAATATCTGAAGTTTGTTTTTGTAGCATTTATTATTTAACAAAACAAAACAAAAAAAGACTTGCCAGAAAGCTAGGTGATAAAATTTAAATGTCCTTATTTTTAACTCTGTACTGGCTGGTGCCTTTACAGTTTCAATTTACAAAGAGAACAACATAATGTCTATTACTTTACATGTTAACTGTGTGGTCATAAAAAGGAGGGGGAGTTTTGCAGTGATTTTTTTCTTATATTTTTGGCCCAGCTGAGAAACCAGCCCAGGTAGAACTAAGATCATTATGGTTTGCTGGTATTTATATCTCACATGCAAAGAGCTTATTTTTTTTTTTTTGTCTTTTATAAGATCTAATACAGCAATGCCCACTGCAGGAAAAGAGAGAGAAATAGAAAAGCATAAAGAAAATTTAAATGTGCATGATCCCAAAAGCCAGAGATAATTACTAATTTTAACATTTGAACTTCTCCTATATATATCTGTGAATACAAACACACATGAGTATAAACATTTTTTGCGGTGTAATAACTTGTTTTCATTAAATGTATCTGTCATTTTTTGATGTCAGACATTTTTCATAGCTCCAAGTATGCCATTAATAATTTAGCCAATTTCTTATTGAAGTTTCCAAATTGTTACTTTTTAATTTTATTTTTCTTTTGTAACTTCAAGTGTTTATTTAAATTCCAGTTAGGGAACATATAGTGTAGTATTACTTCCAGGAGTAGAGTCCAGCAATTCATCACTTACATGTAACACCCAGTGCTCATCCCAAGTGCTCTCCAAATTTTCACTTTAAGATAAAAGTACCATAAAACAGTAAGAAAAGAAAAAAAAAAGTTGCAAAACATGAAAGGGACTAAGTTCTCTTTTTATATAAAGAACTTAACAAATCAATAATAAGAACACACAAAGGGCATCACAGGAAAAGATTAATTATATGAAAGGATGGTCAACTTCTCACAGTAAGAGAAAATCAAACTAAAATCAAAAGGAGACGCCTTTTCACCTATAAGCTTGGCAAGGATAAAAAACAGCTTAATAAGATCTATTGGGGATGATTCTTAAATATTACTGGTGGGAGCATAAATTGCTGTTAACTGTTATGAAGGACAACTGTTATGAAGGACAACTTAGAAAACTAACAAAATTCAAAACACAAATTCCGTTTGACCTAGCAATTCCAGATTTAGGAATATCCCACAGACAGATTCAAGCATATATGAAATGAGACATGTACAAAGCTATCCACTGCAGCACTGTTCTCCTGAAATGCGCCTCGGTGGATGGTGGGTCAAATACAGGGTGGTACATCTGAGAAGGAACAGAGTAACAACCATAAAGAAGAATGAGGGTGCTCTTAAGTACTGACACAGGACAATCTCCAGCAACAATGGCTAATACTATTTTAGTGCTAACTATGGGCCAGGCATTGCTTTAAATGCCTCCCATACGTTTCATAGACACTATTATCTCCATTTCAATAACTTGTTCAAGGTCAAAGCTACTGTGTGCTGGCATTAGCTTCCAGCCCAAGCCTTCTGGCTGCAAAGTCCACAAGTGTTAACTCTTATAAGAGATGATCTTTAAGTGACAAAAGCAAGGTACAGAGCAGGGGGCAGAAAAATACATCTCTGGAAAGATAACTAAGAAACTGGTTTTATCTGGGGAGGGTGACGGGGAGCCAGGGCTGGGGGCTGAAGCTTTTACTTTTTCACAGTTGGTTTACTTTTCCATTTATGTGTATTTCAAAATAATGTTTAATGCTGCAACAGACATACTTGCATGTACAAGCCAGCCTGCTTGCTATATATTCTGAAGTGAATACCTTGTAGCTGTCAGTAGCAGACAGCACTGAGTCAGTTTCCTTTAACCCTGATCCTCAAAGATCAGGGTTTCAGGAAAAGGGCCCCCAGGGTCCAGCCTTGACATTTACAGAAGGGTGTGTCTTCAGGGCGTCACCACATCTGTCAGCAGTGCAATCTGCCACCCCTTAGAGGCACGTATTAATTTCACGATCTCACCATGAAGTTCAAGACCAAATGTGATAAAACCTAATGAGCACCAGGAAGAGCAGCTAGCAAATGAATGTACTTTGCAGCTGTTTCTCAAAGTTTGTTTGAGGGTTTTCTTAGAGATATTAGTATGAGAATATCCACAAATTTGGATGTTGCATAAGACATGCACATTAAAAATTAGTCACAATTTTGAAAATCCAAACATATGTTCCCTTACAAATGGCACAGTCTAGATAGAAAAAAAGTTAGCTTGGTAATTAGATAATACACAGAAATAATTTATTAAATTGGTTATAGTCTTCTCTGGTCTTAGCATGTGATATACACACACTCAGATCCCAAAACTTCCTAGAAGAAAAACTGGCATTTTTCATGATAAGCCTTATTAGTACCTTTCCATCAGTATCTGGTTAGATTTCCCCAACACATCCTAAAAAGCTCCTTCCCAGTTCCAGCCTGATGCATGCCATGTACTCCTACCCTGTCTTCCCCTCTGCCATCCTTTTGTCCTCCCATCCCTTCCCCAAGCTAGAGCCTGGCTGCTCAGCAATCTCTTTGGGAAGACCTGGGGGCATTCCATTCTGACTCAGGCTCTCAAAGGTGGTGTAGCAGATTTCCTAATCCAACACTTATACCCAGTGATCAAAACAACATCTTGCTACAAGTCACCCAAAAACCTCTCCACCAAGGGAGAGCTCCCCATTTCCCTGTCATCCTGTTCTCTTTTTAGACAGCTCTGATGACTGGCAAGTTCTTTCTGGGAGTGAACCAGAACGGATCTCCCTTTAGCTTTTACCTGCTGATCTGACTTCTCATCCCCTTGTGGTTCTGGAATAACTGTGAAAGATGTTGTTGATCAAATATTTGGAAATCAGTCTTGCTTCATTATTTCTTCTCCAAGCTGAACATTCTGCTTTCTTCACTTGTTTTCCCACAGGCTTTGGGATACCTTTCCAACTAGGTCGTGTTCTTAGAAGTGACCTACAATTATCTCTGTTCTTCTCAGATAGAAGAACCCACCAAGTAGATTTGTCATTCTGGGAAAAATATTCTATTTCTATGGAAATGACCCAACTCTTTAGTAGTGATGACAGAGGTTTCACTCATACTGTTTTAATAATTACTTGCTAAAACACTAAAGGCTTTCACCCCTCTTATTTGAGTAACTTCCCCTTGCATCTTAGCTATCAGCAGAAGGGAAGAGGGGAAGGGATGAAACAGAAAAGAATGGCCCCCTTCCAGGGGACAGAGACAATAATCAAGAGCTACGCAGTCACAAAAATGGCCACCGCTTCCTTTCAATGCATTCTCTGCTATTATTGCCAAATGACTGCTTCCATTTTTTTTTTTTTTTTTTTTTTTTGTCTACCATTCTATTTCTAACCCTCTCTTTTTAGCAGAGGGCAAGTGGAATTTGGGTCACCACAAATTTAAATATTTACATATATAATGAATAATAAAAAGTGTTAAAATGCAAAACTTGTTCTAAAATAGAGTAGAGAAATTGTAAAAATCAAGAACTTCACATGGGTTTTCTATACTGGATGCTTCCAGGGAAGTATAATGAATTCCTCTGAGTTTAGCATGAGTAACTCACCAGGGTACCTTACTCGAAGGGGTTATTCACCACAACCATGAGCAACGTTCACCATTCTATCCAACGTGACTGTCAAAGATGCTCCATTCTGTAGCAAACGACCCCAGGTCAGGGGTCAGTCAAATCTACAGGCCTGAGATCTGCTAAGCAGATAGTGTCCACTACTGAAGGGGGGAAACCACATGAAGTACAGGGAGGCCTCGATATGAAGTCCACTCTTCAGTTCTGTGGCCTTAGGAAATGTGTAAAACCTCTGGGTCTCAGTGTTTCCTTTGTGAAACATAAGCAGAATTACCTGCCTCAAAGGGCAGGTGAGAGGATTAAACTGAACCAATGAGATGATGGAGCTGGGACTACAGCGGATATTAAATAAATGGTTTCTCTCTTACCCACAGATATCTGTGATCATAATAATAATGTCCTGCTCAGAGTCAACCTTAAATGAGAGGAACGTCACTGTATGTGGGGGGGGGGGCTAAAATCTGTTTTATAGCTAAGAGAAATCTAAAACCTTATGTGAACTTATTGAATATTCATATTTTTAAAAGCTTACCTCAAAATTTCATTTTACTTTTTTTAAAAGATTTATTTCAGAGAGAGAGAGCAAGAGAGCACATGCACGGGCATGAGTGGGGAAACGAGCAGAGGGAGAGGGAGATAAGCAGACTCCCCTCTGAGTGGGGAGTCCAGCTTGGGGCTCGATCCCAGGAACCTGAGACCACAAATGAGCCAAAATCCAGAGTCAATCACTGAACCAGTTGAGCTACCCAGGAGCCCTCAAATTTTTCATTTTTAAAAAATCTATTCTATTTCCACCTTAGGGGGAATCTAATGAATATATTTTGAGCTAATTTTTTTTTTTAAACTTTCTACTCACGATCTACAACAAGGAGTAATACCATAGATATTCACAAGGAGCATGTTAGAAATGCAACAAAATCCACATTTTAACAAGGCCCCTAGCTGATCTATATGCACACTGAAGTTTAAGAACTGGTTTAACAGAGCATATCTTCTCTCAGGTTAACTTTTATGTGTTTTGTGCTCTACCTATATACCTGCAATGCTATTCAAGAACTAGGCTTTTAAGACAAAAACTTTTATTCCTAAATCTAGAACCAGGAGTATAAAGGGAAGAAAAGAAATTTAACTCCTCACCCTCCCATTAAATTGGCCCCACCCACAAAAGATTTAATTACTGAGGGGAGGGAAAAAAAACAACAAAAATATGTAAGTAACTTTGCTTTCTGAAACAAGACAACAAAATGTCTTGTAAGCACTGAAACGTTGTATCAGTAGGAAGCATGCAATTTAAAAGTTTGTTAGTTTTCCAAGGAACTACATCTAAATCTCTCTAGTAACATTCTTTTGTGGAATAAATGGTGGTAATTTGTAACTAATTTCTCCAGCATCTAAATTAGACTGAAATTTTTTCCAGAGAAATATTCACAACTTCACAGAATCTTCTAGTGTCTTTTTGCTATGTGTCACATCATTTTTAAAAAGGACATAATTAAGAAAACAGCTGTGGATGACCACCAGGACTGATGTACTGTTACATTATTTCTCTCATGCCTAGGAATGGGGCACTACAAGTAATTTGAAAATTTTATGTTAGGATGAATCTAAAGGTTTTACTTACCAAGCTCTTTGAGAGAAACTAGTTGGTCCTTTAATGTACTACTTGTCTTCCTATAATATAATTCTAGTTTATTGCTAACTAGTTCACTTAAAAAATGAAATATGAAATGTTGGAAGAGATCTTTCTTTACTGAATAAAGAGGGTAAACAGAGATACGTAACAGTATTCTTGATTGTTAGAACAGGGTCCCCAGATAGGATCAAACAGATACAGATTAACTGCTTTTACCTGTTGGATCTCTCACTGGTTCCCAGTGCAAGTCACTGTCTTTTTCCCGGATCCATCCACAAAGCCCATGGTCAAAGTTACAACTGTGTATCAGAACACCTACAAGAAAATAACCAGAACAATGAGTAGACCACAATGGCACAATTTGTAAAAACAAACTTGTGAACTAGGATTAACTGCATAAGCGTTCTCTTCTAGCCACACTTATCTGACCAGAACTTCTCTCCATGAGATCAAAGGAAGATAACATGAATCCTTTCTTAGAACAATTGTGCATGTGTGTTCAGCTATAAAAATAGAACACAAAAATGTTGCCAAATTATGACCTTGTTACACCATCACTTACAAAACAGGATTTCCTCTTCACAAGTTAAGTGTGCTTTATTATTTTTTTAAAAAGATAATGATGATATATAATTATTTTCAATCAACAACTATATTACTACAGAGGAAACCAAGTTGTTTAAAAAAAAAAAAAAAGTACACTTTTCCCAGATGTAACCGAACAATCTACAGTTTAAAATTCATTTTCAGGAAGTGGAAGGAAACAATAAAATGTCATCATCACATAGTAAAAATGTAAGTATCTACCTGGATCATCCTTTGCTTCATCATCTGCACTGACTCCCCTTTCAATTTCAAATATTTCAAACAAGTCGTTTGAAGGCTGTCGTGGAACTGCAAGAGAGGGAGGTATGGTTCGGGTGAGCATTGACAGACACCTGCCTTAACCAGGGCATCGTGGGAGAACACCTATGTATTTCACACATCTGGAAAAATCCAAAATATTTCATTACATGTCACATTAAGATTCATGATGTTTGTTCTATAGGTACTTATACTATCTGAGTACAAATTTTAAACATGTTTTCCAAAGGTTTCTAAAATTCAATATAAAAATATATTAATAGGTCTTTACCAGGAAAATACATCTTAAAAGAGCTACCAATTTCTAGCAAAATATTCACCTTTGTCAAAATCTAGAATTTGTCTCTCTGAAAGATACACTATGACCTCTAAATGAAACTGGTTTAACAGAAAATGCCTGCAGCTGCAGTGAATGGTTTGGCTTTCTAACCACAGCATCAACTCCCCACACAATGAAGACTGCCCACTGCTACACTCCATCTCTAAATCTTACCTCAGCAGGGCTCCCCGGCTCCTTAACGATCAAATCCAAACTTCCTGGTGCAGCATTCACAACCCACCCCCCAGAACACACACACACTGTCCACACCATGCCATTCATTTTGTCTGACCCCATCCCTAGCTTGGGATCCTCTTGTTCCTACTAATTAACTTGCCAAACTTCCCCTCTTCATGCAAGACCCCAATGTAAATATCATGCCTGGCTGAAAACTTTGACACCCCTTGCAGGTGTCAAGGTAAATTAAATCCTTCCCCCTTGCACTCTCCAAAGGTTCATGGGCACACATCTCCTACACTCTTCTATGGAGAACTGCAATTATTCACATACATGTGTATGTGTCCCTCTGCTAGCTTCTGAGGTCCTGGAGGGCATCACCCATGCCTTATTCATGTGGCATTTCCAACGTTTGACCTGGTGACAGGCCCTCAATGTATTTACTGCACAGAGGTGAAAATCTTATTTTATCAACCCTTTTCCTCACATGAGCCAACTGGAACAGAGCTTAAGAATCTACTTTTTAAAAAATGGAGTCACTTAAAACATTAGTTATTCAATGTATATTTGCTCCCCCTCCCATGCCAAGTACCATGGCAGTTCAGGGAGACAGCTAAAGGGTGAACAAGACCAAGAAGGACCTGACCCTCCAGAGCTTGCATTCTAATCAGACAGGCAAACATTAGACCACGCTAAACATAAATCCACACTACAATTCTAAATGTTGATGAGGGCTGAGAAGGAAAAACACCAGAGGATGTCCTGAAGAGTAACTGGGTTGGAGGCTGGGGGTATGTGGGAATGTCAGTGAAGGGGAATTCCTGGCCAAACACCAGGGCTACTCCCTTTTATTTGCCAGAACCTCATTAACTGTATTTTTTTTATAAAGCAGGGAGTAAAAGATGTCAAATGCCAAGGAACAGATAACAGTCAGAAGGGTTCTTTTTCAATACTATTTCTATTATTTTTGCAAGAATTTTTTAAAATTAACAATCCCATAATATTTGCACTGATTTTTTTTTCTAGCTTCCCGCTTTTAAAAATTTTTCTTATGTTTCCAAAGTCCAAACAGTGAAGACCCATCCCCTCCCCACACAGACACTCACATATACCCGGCCTGAAAGGGATAGGAGAAGAGAAGCTGGTCAACAAATAAGTTCTGGGGACACACTGCTGACAGAGGTGTCCTGGGTGAGGTAGCTGGCCACCTTCTTGGACACCCAAATGACTGACAGGAGTGACATCCATTTATAGCTTTCCTGGCTTCCTATAGGACTCTAAGAGGGAGTCTGCCTCTTATTTGCTAGAAATATTATAAAGTTGTAGGCAAACATGCTTCGTTCCTCATGATACAGAGAAAGTTCAAAAAATTCTATAGAACAATCATTTTTTGTTCTCTTGTAACTTATACAAATTATTTCTCGATTGGAATATGGCTCAAATCTTACGGTACCATATGGTGGTGCTACCTTATGGCAGCTGGTCAGCCCCCTTTTTTCTAGTTGACTGTTAAATGGTAAACAGGTTCCTGCTGTAGAGGGGGAGGACTGTTCAAAGGTCTCCTGGCACAAAGGGCCTGTTTTTTGTTGTTTGTTGTTCTTAGAAGCATCCTTATTACCAGGGATCTTAACACTGTAATACAGATATTACAACATGGGGATAACTTCCAGTCACTGAAATAACACTTGTCACAGAAAGTTTGTAAGTAGCTGTCTTAGAAACATCTATGGTATAAGTGAATTCATCACCTCATTCTTTCTAGAATGGTAGTCACATGCAGTCAGTGCAGCTTGCATGCACATAACACTGTTCCTTATGGTACTTGTAAGATGTATTCTTAGAAACCTCTGTACTACAAACACACTTAAACACTTCATGCTTATTTAGGGGGTATCACTTCCATCACCAATATAACACTGTGTGAACACAGCTTGCAAAGATCCTTCTTAAGGAACATAAGTGTTCTTCAAAAAATCCATTGCATGCATTATACAATGAGGGTGACTTCCGCTCACGATAATAAACTGGTCATAAAGGGAGATCAAGGGGAACCTCTCTACAGAAGCACCATGTAGACCAAGAGGGAAAGAATGTGAAAACTTCCAAGCAAAAAAAAAAAAAGTGTTGGGAGAGGGGGAAGAAGGAGTGTTTCAGGCAGCCATTACAAAGAAGGTGCTCAGAACAATTAGAGAAAGGCTTGCATGATGCATGGAGGAAGGATGCTGAGAAATAGGGAAAGTAATATGGGATGAGGTTAAAGAGAAAGGAAGGGAGGAGATCACACGTTTGGAAAACAGCAATTCAAAGAATGTGTCATCTAACAACTTGCAAAGTGCCAGATGTTTCATTAATAGTTCTTGGAAACCAAGTGCCTAAAACACTAACTTCAGCAGGAGCTGATCAAGCACACCTTCACTGCAGGTCATTGGGAAACATTCCAAGGAATTTAGAGACCTGACGTGCTCAGCAGCTATTAGTGCTTAAAATTCTGTGGCCTCTACTCTGTAACCCTGCCAGATTGTTCAACTATTTCTCCTTTCTCACACATACGGCTATGGATTGCTAAGACTGTTCCATCTCAGTGTCAAGAGAAGGTTCACCACCTCACTCTCTGGTATATTTTATGTTTTATGTGAAAATACTAAGTGAAATAAGTAGTGGGAAAAAGTCATTCAAGCAGTATGATCTCAACTATGTACAAGAAAAACAAGCAAACAAAACAACGGACTACAAACAAGAGTGGCAAAAACAACACGACCCCCCAAGCATATATGGTCACTTAACTTACAACAAAAAAGCCAAGAACATGCAATGGGGAAATGGCAGTCTCTTCAAGAAATGTTGTTGAGATGAGGGGTTAGGGGGTTGGAGAAGAACAAATGAAACAAGATAGGAGTGGGAGGGAGACAAACCATAAGTGACTCTTAATTTCACAAAACAATCTGAGGGCTGCTGGGGGAGGGGGATTGGGAGAGGGGGGTGGGGTTATGGACATTGGGGAGGGTATGTGCTATGGTGAGTGCTGTGAAGTGTGTAAACCTGGTGATTCACAGACCTGTACCCCTGGGGATAAAAATATATGTTTATAAAAAATTAAAAATTAATTTTTTTAAAAAAGAAATGTTGTTGAGGAAACTGGATGGCCACCAGCAAAAAAAAAAAAAAAAAAAAAGAAACTCGACCACTATCTTACATAACACACAAACATGAGCTCAAAATGGATTAAAGACTTGAATGTAAGATCTGAAACCATAAAACCGCTAGAAGAAAATACAGGCAGTAAGCTCCTTCACTTTAGTCTTGACAGTCATTTTTTTGGATCTGATTCCAAAAGCAAAGGCAACAAAAGCAAAAATAAACAAGTAGGATAATATCAAACTAAAAAGCACAGCAAAGGAAACCATTACCAAAATGAAAAGGCCAGCTACTAAGCAGAAAATAATTGCAAATCATATCTGATAAGAGGTTACTATCCAAAATATATAAAGAACTCCTACTATTCAATAGCAAAAAAAAAAAAAAAAAAAAAATGAGCGGACCAAATCAACGTATTTCCAAAGAAGACCTACAGAGGCCAACGGGTACATAAAAAGGTGCTCAAGATCACCAGCCATCAGGGAAATGCAAATCAAAACCCTGATGAAGTATCACCTCACACCTGTTAGGACAGCTGCAATCAAAAAGACAAATAACAAGCGTTGGCAAGGATGTGGAGAAACCCTGGTGCATTGTTAATGTGAATGCAAATTGGTACAGTCGCTATAGAAAACAGTATGGAAGCTCCTCAAAAAAATTAAAACTAGAACTGCCACATCATCAAGCAATTCCACTCCTGGGTATTTATCTGAAGAAAATAAAACACAAATTCAAAAAGATATCAGCACTCTCATATGCACGGCTGCATTTTCCCCACAGCCCAAACCTGGAAACAGCCTAAGTGTCCACTGACAAATGAATGGATAAAGAAGATGTGGTCTGAGGGTGGTGGGGATATGGACATTGGGGAGGGTATGTGCTATGATGAGTGCTGTAAAATATGTAAACCTGGCGATTCACAGACCTATACCCCTGGGGATAAAAATACGTTATATGTTTATTTTTAAAAATAATTTAAAAAAAAAAGATGTCTGTATATGCACAGAGGAATATCATTCCTCTATAAAAAGAGATGAAATCTCACCTCTTGTGACAACAGTGGAAGGACCTTGAAGGCATTATGGCAAGTGAAATGAGTCAGAGTAAAATACCGCAAGATCTGGCTCACATGTGGAATCTTAAAAACGGAAACAAGCTCATAGATACAGAGAACAGACTGGTGGTTGCCAGAGGCAGGGGGTGAAGGGTGGGCAAGTGGGACTCAGAAGTTACAAACTCTCAGTTATCAAATAAGTAAGTTAGAGGGATATAATGTAGAGCATCGTGGCTATAGCTAGTAATATTTCACTGCATATTTGAAAGTTGCTAACAGAATAAACCTTAAAAGTTCTCAACACAAGACACGATTTTGTAACAAAGTATGATAGATGTTAACTGG